CCCAGGCGGCTGACTGCTGCAGGCATCACAGGAGCTGCTTCCCCGTGAGCACCAGCTGTTCACAACCTGTCCCTCCCCCAGCCCGACCGCGGAGCTGCAGGTGGCCGGTCCCTGCCCTGACCCCAGCACCCGGTTGTCCTGGTCGGGGCACGAGAACTTGTAAACAACATGGCTTGACCGGCTCAGTTTGCAGGAAGTGAGAGGACACGAGTTCCTCCGGCCTCCCGCCTCTGGCCCGTCTGCCTAAACCGCCACTTCCCCTGTCCTCTGATGCCTTCAGCGGCTGCTCATTTTGCCCACTTCACACCCATGTCCCCTTGGTCACACCCGAGGCCGCTGCTATGTACCTACTGCCCTGCCCCTTCACTTCTCTCCCTCTGCCCAAGTCCAGTCTGGGCGCCCACCTGCCAGCCTGCCCCACCTCACCCGGGGGCTCTGAACTTCAAGGGCCCTGCAGGCTCCCACTCGACCCTCACTGACCACATCCTCTGACCATGGACCCTCCCTCAGGACCTGGGCTTTAGGGGTCCCAGCATCTCTAACCTCTTCTCTCGCTGTACAGATGGGAAAATTGAGATATATCAAGTCAGTGGCAGGGAGAAGCCTCACCCTGGTCTCCTCACTCCTGGGTGAGCTATACGTCCCTGCAAAGGCCTTGGGGAGGGGATAACAACAGTAAAAAGAAGCTTGAGTTGGGTTATGTAGGGGGGTCATGACTGCCCCAGGAAAGGTAGGGGCCCAACTTGAACTGTTTTTTCTTTTTAGTGTTTTAGAATGGCTTTTTTTTTCTTTTTTTCCCCCCCAATCCTCACCCAAGGATATTTTTTCCATTGCTTTTCAGAGAGTGGAAGGAGAGAGAGAGAAAAACATCTATGTGACAGAGACACATCGATTGGCTGCCTCCTGCAGGCGCCCTGCCCGGGGCCGGGGATCGAGCCTGCAACCGAGGCACGTGCCCTTGGCCGGAATCTCACCCGGGACCCTTCCGTCCGAGGGCCGACGCTCCAACCACTGAGCCAAACTGGCTAGGGCTAGAATGGCTTATTTTTGATTAATATTATGTTTGTTGTTGCAACAAAGCAGTTGTACATTACTGAATGTAGCAGGGTTGTGTTTTTTTCCTGTACAGTATTCTTTTTTTAAAAAAAAAAAAATTGTGGCAGAAAAACAAACACAAAACATAAAACTTATCCTGCCAACGATTTTCAAGTGTATAGCACAGTGCTGTCCCCGACAAGCACACGGCTGCGCACCGTTTCCCCAGAGCCCCATCCTGCCTGGGCACCCGCTGCGTACCTCGCCCCCTCCGCCCTGGCCCCTGCCAGTCACCACCCTACTTGCTGCTTCTATGAGTTGGACACGTCACAGAAAGTTTAGGTACCTCGTGAAAGTGGGGCTGCACGGCACGTGTCTTTCCCTGGCTGGCTGATTTCACTTGGCACAGTGTGTTCAGCGGCCATCGGTGCTGCAGCAGGTACCAACCTCCTTCCTTTCCAAGGCTGAGTCCATCCCGCTGCATGTATCCCCCGCGCTTTCTTTATCCATTTACCCATCAGTGGACGCCAGGGCTGCTTCCACCTCTCGGCTGTAGTGAGTGGTGCTGCAACCAACCTGGGTCATTTAGACACTGACCAAGCCAGCAAATAAACGGGCTGTGGGCCTCAAAGAGCTGTGGGGAGCTGGGTCCCTTCTGGGACACCTCGGAGTTCTGTTCCGCCTCGGACTGGGATGCAGGATGCAGGATGCAGGACGCAGGATGCAGGATGCAGTGGGGGCTGTAGCGCAGTAAAACAGTGCAGGCTCGGTTCTGTCCTGGCCACTGGCTGTAGCCCCCTTTCCGTTGCTCTTGCACTGCAGGGGTGAGTGTTTGGGGTCTTGGGGAAAGTCTTGGATCTGCTCCAGTTTGTACACAACGGTAAATCCCACGCCAGCCAGCACCAACCCTCTGCCTGGACACAATGTAGTGCAGGACACGAGGCCTTCCAACTGGGATTGCCAGGAAAAATATGGGATGTGGTGTCTGGAGCATACTTATACTAAAGCATTATTCATTGTTTGTCTGAAATTTTAATTTCACTGTGTGTCCTGTATTTTTATTTGCTAAATCTGGCAACCCTACCACCTAATCCACTGAAGGTCTCCCTGACTAACCAGCACCAGGGCCTCCGCTCCCGGACCCAGGTCGGATGGTGTGGATGCTCTGAACTCCAGGCCTGGCTCGGAGCACTGGGTGCTGAGCACCACCCTGCTCCGTTCAGCTTGCCCCTTCAGTCACGTGCTTGACTAGTCCCTCATCCATTCCTGCCTCCCTTTGACTCTTGGCAACGATTCTTTCTGAACCCCAAGAAACTGCCGTAAAGTTTGTATTTTATGATCTCATTTTTAATTGGGCAACACCAAATGGTGACCATGAAGCCTCATGAACCTCTCTCTGCCTGTCTCTCATCAGGGGGATGAAGAGGGGGTGACCTGGGCAGGCATACACAGGGGCTGGCTCAGCCCTCATAGTGTGCAGGAGTTGGCCCTGTGGATGCCCTTAAGAGCCTGGCCAAGTGAGGCTGAAGCGCCGGGGTCCCCTGTGAAGGGGAGAGCAGCTGTGAGCAGCCAGCATTTTCTGGCCTCTGAGTCCTGAGACAGTCTCCAAGGAAAGGGGCCTTGGCTGCCTCCTCTGGCAGCTCTGGGCACAGACACAGGTGCAGTAAAGGGACTGAGGCCAACTCTGGGAGTAAGTCATGCTCCCTCTTCAGCCCACTGTTGACTTCCTTCCCTTCTTTGGCATTTGCAAGAAGGCAGGGCCTGGGTCTCCTTGGCCTACCCACTCCACCCAGGTTGGACACCCAGCAGGCCCCAGCCAATGCTATTCTCCCAGGGGCCTCTCTTGTTCGTGAACTGCCTCGCTGTTCCTGAAGCTGATAGAGAAGATCCTTCTCTGCATGGGGAGGCGCTGGAGTGCAGGAGAAGAGATAGGCTGGAGTTCTGAGACGAGGGAAGGCAGGGTTGGCCCTGGCCCTGTGGGCCTCAGGGCGTGCAGCTGGAGGTATCTGGCTGGGGCCCGGTGGGCGGTAGATGGCGCTCCAGATCTTACTTGCAGGAGTTTAGTGAGAACAAGGGAAGTTCAGGGAGGGCAGAGACCTTCCTCCCCCCAGGCCTCATACTCACTTGCCACACAGTCTCAATGAGTAACTGCACATTGCTCTGGGATTATCTGATTCAAGTCTGTCTCCCACACTGGCCTGGTCTCTCCACTGGGGCTTGAGGTCATCCCAGTGGCCTCAGGGCCCAGTAGGTGCTCAGTGAGTGCTGAATCAAGGCAGGCATGACTGAAGTGTGGATGAGTGGGCTCTCCCCTCCTGGGAGAGGCTGGCAGAGAACTGGCCTTCCATGGGAAGCCGTAACCAGGTCAGCCTACGCTTGTCCCGTCCTCAGGGGCTCTCAGAAGACAGGGATGGCAGGGGCAGTGACAGGAGTGAAGGCCTAGGAGCACTGATCAGATATGAGGCTAAGGCAATCCAAGGTACAGGTGACTAACTCCGGGGCTGCACCGCCCAATGGAGTAGCTGTTAGCCACATGGATATCGAGCTTGAAATGTGGCCAGTCCTTGCTGTAAGTGTAAAATACACACTCAGCACAAAAAGAATGTAAAATATTTCATTAATAACTTTTACATTAATTACATGGTTAAGTGATCTTATTTTGGATACAATGGATTAAATAAAATTATTAAAATTCATTTTCCTGTACTTTTAAAATGTGTGGCTACTATTATTATGGGTACTATATTCCTATTGAACATTGCTGCTTCCAACCCACAGGTGCCCCACAGCTAACAGCTGGGTGCACTGTCAGGTGCGGGTCTTACAGGAGTGTGGGGGGACCTTGCATGGCTCTTCTGGCTGTGGGAAAAGGGAGGCTACAGTGCTGAGCCCAGGGCAGCTGGCTGAGTGCTGCTCCAACCACAGCGAGGTGGGCTGGCCTCCCAGGAGCCCCCAGGCTTATTTCCAATGCTTGTGGAGTCACAAAACTTTGAATCTGGAAGTGCCTTTGGGGACCTGCCACCTACTGCACTAGTGAGAAAATGGGGCAAATTTGCTGTCTTAAACAACTAAGTCAGTGGCTCCAGAAGCTAGATTCCCAATTCAATCCCCTTTCTACATAGCCTCCCCTTGGGCTCTGAGGTTTAAGACCCCCTCCGCCCATAGCTTGACCTACCTTTGCCTGTGCCAAGCCCTCTACCAGGAATGCTTCTTGCCCCTTTCTTCTGTCCAGCTTCCTTTGGGCAAGCAGCTTTTATTTTTCAGGTCTCCATTGTCTGGAAGCTCTAGGAGGGCAGGGTCCTGATGACATGCACAGTATACAACCCAGCACACTGGCAGAAACAGGTGTGTGGTCAATAGATTCATTGTTGATGAATGAATGGTGTTACTTCCTGCATGCCCCCTGCATCAGCCCAGGCCTCCATGACTCCCAGCTCCCTCATCTGTGTCCCTGCTGGACTGTGAGCTGCCCTGGGCAGGAACGGTGACATTTCCCACAGTTTCCAGAGCCTGGAGCAGAGTCGGTGCTCAGAAAATAATGAAACACAAACCTGGGCAAAATCCTTACTGATGTAGGGACAGGTGCCAAGCTTCCTCCCAAACCTTCCCACTGTCCCTGGCAGGTGGCTCATGGGGGTGGCAAGAATCCAGCAGTCTTGCCTGTGATCCAGGACTTCACCTCTTACCAGAGGTGTGGCTTTGGGTATATTGGGTGTATCCTTCATCTGCTCTGAACCCCAGGGGGCGACAACAGTGAGGAGCAAAAGAAATCCAGCCCTTAAGCACAGCCCCTGGCGCATAGAGTGGTCCCTACGACTATCATTATTATGACTCCTTAGGAGGTAGCAGCAGGTCCCTTGAGACACCCAGGGAACACTGCTATTTCACTGAGCCCAGTCGGGTGCATGCACAGGATTCTTGGACCCTGTGCCCCATTCAATGCCACGAAGCCTCACACCAACCAGCACAGAAAACATTGCTTTATTAACTGCATTTGCCAACACATGAGGAGTGCAAAGGGCTCCTTGAGACACAGGCCTGGTGGGGGCCAGGTCTGGAAAGCCCCATGAGTGAGCAGGACAGGATGGGGCTGAAAGCTACGTAGCAGCGGCAACACAGAGTCATGCAGGGCACGGTGGGCGCTGGCCACAGCAGGGCGGCCATACATTCTATTGCTCATTAAGGGTAGCGAACACAGACAATGTACAAAAAGGAGAAATAGGTCTTTGCGTTAATGAAAAATACATTTTTTCTCTACAAAGGAATCTTTTCTAATACAAGAAAATAAATATTGCAACATAAGCCAAAAATAATTTAAGATTGCTCTTTTCAATATATTTTCAATATTTCTCTTGTATATTAACAAATGGCACATCACTTTCTTTGAAACAAAGACAGAAGGTGTCTCCTCCTGTGACATTCATATCATCTCCCCACCCCGAGCCGACGTGGAGCACAGTGTTGTGCATCTGAGGGACAAGGTGGCAGGAAGTGCCCTAAAGAACAACCAAAAGTCCCGGACTCCGGCCCTGGCTCTTTGACCAATGTGGCCAGCAGGGCCAGGGGCATGGGAAGTGGCCTCCCCGAGGGCCTTGCTACAGGCATCCAGACCATCTTGCAGAGCTTTGGACATGGGCAGAGATTGGCCACATCTGGCAGTGAGCAAGGAAACGCCAAGTCCAGCTGGTGCCAAAGTCTGTTAGAGTTGGGCAGTTGGTTCTCTAGGAATTGCCCCAGAAAGTCCCACAGTGTGCCCATCCACCACACACAGAGACGCGTAAACACGGACACACGAGACGTGCCCTGGCACACACACATTCACATACCAACAGTCCAACCCCCGTGTGGAAACCTGGGTGGCGTCTCCAAGGACGCCGAGATCCTTACAAATGCTCACACACTGTCACCAAGTCAGAGCTCATTTAATAAAATAAAATAAACCCTTCTACCTTTCTCCTCATTTGCTGTAAAATACATTTATGATCCATAAAAATACTTTCCTTGACAATATCTTTTCTCACTGTGATGAGGGGAAGGTGACCGTGGGCAGCTGGGACTGGGAAAAATGAGGGTGACAGACAGAACGAGTCACAGAGCAGCTTCTCCCTCCCTGAGGGCCAGTGACCGAGGGCCGTTGTGGTCAAGTACAAGCTCTGCCCAGCCTCTGGGCCGGGAAGGCCTCTTTTCTTCTGCTCTCTTCCCACCTCACCCTCAGGGGCGGCAAAGCCGTCAACACAGTGGACAGGAGGCCGGAAAAAGAGTGAAGGGGCTGTGGCTAATGGTGAAAAGGAAAGGAGGGGAATCGGCACCCTGGTCCTCCTTGCAGCCTGGTGGGCATCCTAAAGGTGGATGCTGCCCGATGAGGAAAGGTTAGGGCCTGGCCTGGGAGGGAAGGGGCCCCCACCAGCCATCCTAACAAGACCCCTGGGCTCTGTGCAGGACACGGCCCCAGGGACAATCCAGTCCAATCAAAGCAAGAGCCAAGAGAGAAGAGGGTCAGAATCTAGAGGCCAACTTGAGCAGAGGCCCCCCGAGTGCTGGCTGCCTCGCCTGGGCCAGCCCCACTGCACTCCCTCCCTGCTGCTCTCCTGCCTCCAGGGGGCCCAGACTTGGCCTCGGGACGGACGAAGGGGCCAGGGGCCGAGTGCTAAGTCTACTGGACCTGAGCCATTCCTGGCACCCCGACCCCCGCGCCCCAGGAAAGTTTGGTTGTTCTTTTAAGCTCATCCCTTTGCTTCCTGCGAGGTCAGACTGAGCATCCAGCACAGACAGGGCTGGGACCCGAAGCACGGGGAAGGAAGGTCTGTTCAAAGGCAGTAAACAGAATGGGGTCGGGACGCTGCTGCGGACACTGCCCTGGCCGCTGCCACCGAGGCGGCAGACAGACTAAACTGCACGGCAGCTCGTGGCACCCCAACACCCAGAATCCTCGAAGCCGGCTGCGTCCATCCCAACTGGACACACTTGTCCGATCCCCTGAACTTAAGTCATTATCTCTGTTTTCCGTTTTGCTAAAATTCACATAAAACTGAGTGTCGATGACAACGCCACTGTCGTACCTTGATCGTTTTGGAGTCGGGGGTGAGTGGTCAGCTGCTCCCCATCCCACTGATTTGCGCTCTGCGTCTGCGTGGGGGGGAACCTCGCAGTCAAGGCGCTGGCCCTGCTGGTTTCGCCGCATGTTCCTCCCGCGCCCCGCGAGTCTGAGTTTCTGAGAGCTCACGGCGGCCCGTCCGGGATGTGAAATCCTACCCCGATCCGGTTCCCGCAGTCGCAGAACGGCATCCTCTCCAGGAGCTCAGGCTCGTCTCCTTGGGTGTGTGCAATGAGCATGTTTCTGTACTTTGTTGCTAAAGAACTCCATTAAAAAAAGTCCAAGTGACAGGTTGTTAGGTCCAGGCTGTGCTGTGTTATGGTCAAGATATTCTTTGGCATCCATAGAATGATTCGACTGATTCACTGGACTTTTGCAAGGTTCTTGTTGGAGAAGTTCTGGCTTTACCAGTGGCAGAAGTGACCCAGGAGTAATTCACAAATGTAAAAAAACCTTGTTTTCACTGAATTCCTTTTGTGTTTGTTCCCTGAGCTATCACCCTGGGGCCACTCCACTAAAACTCTTCAGGGCAACTACCTGGGACCTAGAGGGTGGGGTAGGAAAGGCAGGTAGGTGGCGGAGAGGGAGGGCACGGCTGGGAAAGGGGGTTAAGGCTCGGAGGGAGAGGAACCAGGAGCCTCCAGCAAGACTTAAAACAGCCCCAGCAGCCAGCATGGCCGCCTGGGCCCCGGGATCCCACTGCTAGTTGGAAGTAAGAGTTTCCAAAAGGAAACCGAGGAAGCAGCTCATCTCTTAGCAGGACTGGGAAACTTGAAAAGGCAAACGGTCTGGTCAGCTGTCTGGGAGTGACCAGACTTTGGCCAAGACTGGCCCCTAAGGAAGAAAGGAAGTTGGAGCCCCAGAGGGATTCTCTGCAGCAGGCTAGTCTGAGCCCCACGCCCCCATCTGGGCACTGGCCCTCCCTGGCAGCCCTCCACTGGCACTGGTGGCTGGCTGCTTGGGCGTCCCCTGAGTAAGTGGCACAGCTCAGGAAGGATTCTGGAAACCCCTTCCCAGAGCTGCAGGGCTGGGCGCTGGCAGGGGCAGAGCAGCAAGGGAGTGGAGGGTCACGGGGTGGGCAGGCAGGCCTTAGATGTGGGTTGATAGGAACGGCTGTGGTTCTCCTGGAACCAGCGGGGCCCTCTGCGCCCCCTCAGTGCTTTCTCATATAAGCTCGTTGTGCTTGTGACAGTGAGTAGACTCTGGCTGCGAATCACTTACTACATACTTCCTTGGGGATCAGTGGAGTGCAGCAGGACCCCCCAAATGGACTCCAGTGGAATTCAAGGGCAGGGTGGGGCTGGCCCATCTGCCATGAAATAATGCCCAAACGACAGTCTGTGTCACCCAGTGGCAGCGGGCTGGCGTCCTGAGCTCCTTACCACCTTGCCTGCATCTAGCTGGGAGCCCAGCAACGCCACATGGAACAGGTGGGGATGCTGCTGCAACGGGGGTGCTGCACAGGACCTGGCCTGGTCCTTGCAGCCAGAGCTGTGGAAGGAATCCTAATGTCCTAGGCCAGCACAGAGGAAAGACAACAGTGTGGAATTCACAACTCTCTCTATATTAAAAATAAAACCACAACAGAGTGGCAGCCTTGAGGGTCTGGGACACTCAGCAGATTGGAAATGGCAGTTGTGACTGGGCTGAGGCCTCATGGGGGAGACTAGGGCAGGGCCTGAGAGAGGGCCAGAGGTGATTTAGGAGGCCAAAACCCCCATGCGGACCACCTCCTCAGCCCCTGCTTCCCGGGGACCCCGCTGCACCCCGCCGTCCTCCGCCTCCACATCTGAGTCGCTCATCTCCCCATCAGAGAAGAAGCCATCAGTCTCAGGGTCAAAGTGTAGGCTGACCTTTGGCCTCTCGGCCACAGCAGGAGGAGGTCCTGTCCCGGCATCAGGCCTGGCACCCGATGATCTCCGGGTTGCCTTGCTCTCGCGGGCCGGCCGCAGCCGGCCTGAGGGCTTGGGGCTCGCCGTTGGGCCAGGCACTTGGACATTCGAGTCGGCAGCCATTGGGGCTGCCTCATCGGGGGTGTCAGGGGCCAGCGGTGGGGGGCTCCTGGGGGCTGCTGGGATGGGACAGTCCCCAGCTGTAGGACTGGACGGCAGGTGAGAAGGCGTTCGCCGTGGTGGTTTCCTGGGTGGTCCTTGACCTTGACCCCCCTTGCCACCACCAGCATCCTGGCCCCAGGGCTTCTTGGGGGGCTTGTCCAGAGTGGTCCGTGAACCAGGCCCATCCTGTGGTGGTTTCTTCTTAGCAGGTAGGCGGGTGGTGCGGCCACGGGCCTTCCTGGCAGGGTCGCCGGGGCGGAGTGAGGGGTCCCGCATGAAGCTTAGCAGCGTCTCCTCGTCTTGCAGCAGCTCCTCTGACAGTAGCCCCGGAGCGGGGTCCTCACGGTGCCCGTTATTTAGTGACCACTCGCTCATGGCCATGTTCTCTGCTGTAATCTGCACCGACTGTGCCAGCCAGCTGTTGAAGAAGGTGCCATCGATGGGGAATGAGGTGGACAGGCCTGGTGGAGGGGAGAGAGGAGGAAGGTGAGATACCAGTAGGTGTAAGTGCCACCCTCTTTCAGGAATCCCTCCGTCCCTCCTCAACATGCTACTGCAGGCTTCCTGTTAAAAAATTATTAAGAATTTCAAAGTGGCTACAGTAGAACATTAAAACAAGCATGAGCCTTTGACACTGCACAGGTGCACACCCTTGAGGCGGGCCCTGCCCACTCGCCCCCATCCTGGGCATGCAGGGAACCGAGGGAGGAAAATGCCCGAAGGCCACCAGAGGGCGCTGGATTTCTATGCACGTTTCCTCCCAGAGCTTCCAAAACAAGGAACCTGGGTCACGGTGCCTGGCATGAATAGGGTGGCAATGTATCAGCCTATAAGGTTCCTCTTGGATGCCAGGGTCTGCTCTAGCTATGCGCCATCCCTCCTTTACTCAGGTCTTGGGACAGATAATTAGAGACCCAAGTTGTCCCCTTCCTAGACTGAGGGACATAAAAAATGACCTGGGGCTTCTGTGCTAGAAGTGAGGTCTAGAAGGAGACCCAAGGGGGCTCCCCCATGATCCCTGAGAAGTGCTCTAGGGGAAGCATGTGACATCCTGGGAGATAAAGCCCACTGCTGAGGTCCCCTCAGGGCTGCTTGGCTTAAGGGGGCAGCAGTAAGAAGGTCTGTGACAGTGAAGATGGGTTGGGCCAGTGCCTTCAGCCACTCCGTTGGGTCTCTCTGTCATGAATGTTCGCTGGGCTCCTAGAAGGGCCCAGATGGCCTAGAGGTCCCTTCAGGGCGTCCAGGGAAATCTACTACCCAGGACGCTGGTGAGTAGAATGAGCAGTTAGTTCCTGAGCTCCTGGGCACAGCCTACAGGTCTACAAAAGGGGAATTTCTGGGGGTGGCAGCCAGGGCTCTGAAACCCTAGTCTGCTTCATGGCTGGGAGGTGTGAGTGCCTGGGTAAAGGAGGGCCTGGCTACCCCTTGTGGGCCTCCGGCTCTGTGCGGGGGGAGTACTGGCCTTACATGGAAGGCTGGCAAGCAGAGCCACTGTGTCAGCCTGGCCAGTCTGCCAGGCCAGCATGGCCACTTACCCAGCTGCCCCAGGACTGAGTCGGGCCCCGCCTTCAGTTTCTCTTTTTTCTCAGGGCTCCCCCTTGGGCCCTCGCGGCCTTTCCTTTTTGAGTCGCTCTTCTTGCCCTTTGCTCTTCTCCCAGACCGCTCTGCGCCAGGGAAAGAGAAAGCAGGTGGTTACCCCAAACCGCCTCAGCCAGAGCCCAAGCCACTGCACATCACCCCAAGGGTCCTCCCTTGCCTGGTGCCTCACCATCCAGGTCACCTTGCCTTGCCTCTGTACCCCAGGCTCAGAGCCCCCAGGGGCTTGGGATAATTGGGGTTCCCGTGAGTCAAGGGACAAGCGGTGTGGGGGGCTGTGTGATAACTGCCCACTGCTGCTCTGGCAGGGCTTGGGGAGGGCACAGGGCCACAAAGAGGGTGGAGGACCACCTTGCAGGATCTGGACCGCAGCCTGATCTACATGGCCCACAGATCCTGGGAGAGTCCTGGTGGCTGGAAGGCTGGCTGGAGGTGAATGGACAGGGGGGGGCCTTGAATGCCAGGCCGAGGAGCTGGACATGAAGGTGGGCAAAACACTATCTGAGAAGTCATGAGGTTTTGGTTACAGTCCTCACACTGGTTAGTCCCCTTGAGCAAGTCTCCTGGTCTGCTTTTGAGGTCAGACAGATGGGAGACCTGGCTGCACACCTGGCCTTCATATTCCTTCAGTCCACGATCACAAGGGTCTAGGGAGCCACAGAGAACACTGAGCAGGGAGGGACATATGGGGGGGGGGCAGCTGCCAGGAATATTCTCCCAGCTTCTCTGGTGCAGGCTGGAGGGCTTCCTGAGTAAGGGTTTAAGGGTGTTAGGGGTGTGGTCCCAGCTCTGCTGCTGACTCCCTGTGCAACCTCACACTGGGCCTCAGAGGTCCCCACTGTTCTCAGCATAGTCTGAGCTCCTTCTGAGGGTCACAAGACCTTGCATAGCCGGCCTTGGCAACCCCTGAACCTCACGTTAGACATCTTCCTTCTGCCCAAATTGCACCGATGCCAGCCTACCTTCCAGTTTCTCTAACAAGGCAAGATCTGGCCTCTAGGTCTCCAAAAATGCTCCTTCCTTGTCCCGTCCTTCACCTGGTTCAGCTCAAAGCAAATACCACTGCCACTGGGAAGTCTTCTCAAGCCCTCTGGCCAGACAGGCCTTGGCAACATGCCTGTAGCCCACGTCCCACCCCAGGGGTCAAGCGCACAACACCGAGGGTGTGAGCTTTGGGCGGAGGCAAACCGGTTTCTGCCCTGAACAAGGGCTGCCTGTTGTAGCCACTCAGGGCTAGGAGCTGCAAATGTTCCAACTCGAACATGTTTCTGGAATCCTGTGCCTCAGGGAACTGCTGCCTCGGTTGTGTCTCTCCTGCAGCTGGGTGTGTGGTCACAGTGAGGTCCTAGGAAGTCTGAGACATTGTTCCAGAACCTGCTGCCATAAAGCCATCCTCACACCTCTGTCTCTGAACCAGCACCACCACAGTCCCCTGGGCAGCACTTCCCTTTATCTCTCCAGGTGGCGAGCTCCACAAGGGTAGGAACCTTGTCCATTCAGTCTATAGCAGTGTGCCCCGCAGCGCCCAGCACAGGGCCCGGCATCCTGTCCACCGTCATTTAGTGCTCATGGAACCAATCAACAGATGAGAGGGAGCCTGGGAAAACTCTGGAAGCCAGGAAGCTGCCATAGTCCTGGGGGTGCATGGTGAACTCTGAGCTCTGCATGACTGTGACCCACCATCTTTACTTGACATTCCTGGTTTCTTGGGCCAGAGTGGGTGGTGATCCCCAAGTACAGACAAGGCAGCTTGGCTCTCAGGCAGGGGTGGGCAGTACCAGGTCCTCAGTCATCGGCTCTAGTGGTGGCCTGCCAACTCTCTTCTCCGTCCACTCCAGGCCTAGCCTGACCCAGAGGCTGAACTGGCAGTGGCAGACCCTGGCTCAAAATCTCTCTCCACCCAGCTATTTCTGCTGCATATAATCCAACACGAGAGCATCATTTTTGGGTCAAACATTGCTCTCCTTAACATGTGAACCAGGAACTCCAGGAAGGGCCCCGTGTCTGGCAATATCCCCACAACCAACAGATGACATCAATGCCAGAGCTTCTCTGGCCTTTGATTTCCAGATCAAAGTGCACATGATGCAGGAGAATACGAAGAAAACAGAGGAAAAGCGGCCGGCACAGGGCCTGAACCCTCTGAGGTCAGAGCGAAAGAGCGCACAGGACTTCTCACTGGGCAGCCGCTTTCTTCAGATCAACACGCAGGCACCAGGTCAGGGAAGCTGGCCGGCTCCCGGCCCTTCCTGCCCCAGGGCCAGCACAGAGCCGCTAGGACCTCTGGTCCACCCGTTTACATGCAGCTTACTCCTGAACCACTGTGGTCCTGGCACTACCTGGGTGTCTTCAGGGAACTAGAAAGCTCTCTGAGGACAGGCCTGATGCCCACATTCCAATCGCTAGCTCCCCGCCTAACAATACATACATGGGACCCTGGGGAGGTCCCCTTCTCGGCCCAGTTATTGAATGACGGAGGGTAGGGGTAGGGGCTGGTGGCCCCGGACCCCATGCACATGCCCCCAAACCAGGCCCCACAGACACACCCTCCTTGGGACCCAGCCCCTTGAGAGTGTGCACACGAGGTGGCCGGCGTCAGGCAGGGCAAGCGCCTACCTCGACACAGATCCTGTTCAATAAGTTTCATCTGCAGGTGGAATATCTGCTCCTGGAGTTTGCAGAGGGCGTGTTTCGTTCTCTCGCGCCTCGTCACCATGTAGCACAGATTTCTAACCTGAGGAAACACAAGAGACAGTTTCCACCTTACTCCAGGGCAACCACCCCTGACTGGATCGGGGGGGGGGACACACCACTGCCTAACCTGCCCAGGACATCTGGGAATCAATTCCCAGACCCTGAGTGTCCTTAGCCCTAAGCCACAATTCTCTGATCCAAAACACAGGGCTGAGCACAGCCTTGACCGTGTGGCCCCGGCTGAGCCACAGTGAGCAGAGAGAGCATCTGGTTAGCTCAGGCTGGTGATTCCGCCTTCCTGGCTGAGTCGGCCACGCTGCTGCCCAAGGCCCTTCTAACACGGCTGCTCTCCTCTACAAACAGTGCACCACGGCTCATCGGGGCCTCGCGAGGTCCCCAAGTCCACCCCTCTGCCTCCTGTCCGAGGCCTCTTTCCCACCAAAGAAACTCTTCAGCCATGGGAAAACCCACCTCCTATCCTCACACACAAAAGGCGATGGTGCATGGAGCGAGATTCCAGCACAGCAGATTCGTGCAGACAGGGATTCTCCAACCCACTTGGGTCTACCTGCTGCTCTGGGGCCTGAGCCAGGCCCACCCCTAAGCTGGCCCAGGCCCCCATGTCCACATGGGCCATGTGCGCTCAGCCAGAGACAGAGCTCCTCACAGGGAAGGGCAGGGGCCTCTGACCCCCTGAGGCCAGCTAGCAAGAGCCTCTTAGGGCCTGGGAGACAGACACTCCCTGCAGCTAATCTGGAAGCACCTGAAGGACGGGCCATGTTGCTGTCTGTCCAGGTGGCAACTTCCTCCAGTGTTCCCACCCTCACCGGCTGCTCTCTGGGCCAAGACCAGACCCCCTCCCTTGAAACACTTTCTTGTTCTGATGTCACCTTCGGTTTAGGTCAGAACCTGTTGTAACAGGGACAGCTGGCCAGGAGCTGCTGAGCTGAAATCCTGGGCCCCACCAGGGTCTTTCCAGCTGAAACCAGTACTCTGTCTCCAGCTGGGTTTTCTCTTTAAGGGCGAGTTCAGGCTTCATGTCCTTAAGCTGCCTCGGAGTGATCTCTGGGTTTTAGAGCCCCTGGCCTGCTGTCATGAGCACCATTCCCTCTGGCCCGGGAGTGGCCGCGATTGGACCTCTCTGTAGGCACAAGTATCCTCACCTCCTTCCTGGGCCTAGTTGTGAAGGAGGTCCCAGAACGCCTGCTCCAGTCCTGACCTTGCAGGACAGACTCTCATGGCACTGCCACCTGTGTGTGCACCCAGGCTAGACCATGGGTGCACACCCTACGACCCAGCCTGACTTCCTCACCTCCTCCCATACGTCCCTGTGGTTCTGTGAAGTCCCATTGTGTTGGGGCCTGGGTGCAGCAGTGAGCAAGGCCATCTGGGTCCCTTTCTTCTCAGGACTTGCTGCCCACTTGGGCAGACAGATGCTGACCAAGTACTGACAGGACCAGGCAACTCTGCACCAGGCTTGGGGGTGATGAGGAAGGCTTCCTGGAGGAAGGGGCAGCTAAGCCGAGAGGGAGTTGATCACAGAGAGGGGGACAGGCTGGGGACAGGAATCCAGAATAAGGCCAGGCAGGGGAGAGGCAGAGTGAAGCTTGTGGCTAGAGTGTGAGGCTTTGAGGCCTGGCTGAGCCAGGCCAAGCAGAGCTGTGCAGAGATTTTGATGGGGGTGGGGGTGGGTGTAAGTGCTGAGACCCCAGAGTGATCCTTAATGTCCTAGGTCCTCCTCATCTGCCTCATAGCTGCCCTGTCAGCATGCCCATCAGTCCTTCCCAGGGAACACGACTCCTTGCCATCAGCTCCCTCACCTCTTAGTCACCCCCCCCATCATCTTCAGCTGGACAACCAGCCATTTGGACCCTCTGCTATCCCAGAGCAATCTTCTTAAAATGTAAACGTAAACCTTCTGGAAATGTAAATCATCCAATGGCTTCTGTGTGGGGTTGAAGAGTGTCTCCCGCCTAAGTGTATGTCCATTTGGAACCTCAGGAGTAATTAGTTAGCATTCATGGAGATGGAGGTCGTGGGAGGAGCGGCTTTGGGCCTGTGGGCATGCTGGGCATGAGATGCTGGAGCTCAGGAGGGACGTGTGGGCTGGAGCCGTCCCACTGATGGGGAGCAAAGCTGTGGAGCTGATGCAGCTTTGAGAGGTCAGGCTGAGTGTGGCAAATGCTCACTAGACCGAGGAGAACCCAGAAAGGGAGAGAGAACGGGAGGATTAAGGGAGGATCTGGTCAGAGCATCAACAGGAGAAGTTATTCAAGAGCAAGGGCATCACTGACTGTGGCAACCACTGCTGAGAGGGCTAGGGGACAGGATGGAGAAGTGGCTACTGGACACGGGGAGATGGACGCTGTTGGCCCTGGTTCTGCAGTGCTGTGGTGGCAGGAGCTGGCCAGAGGGGGAAGCAAGGAAGTACGAGCAGTGAGGGATTATGGGAAAGGACAGAAGGGGATGGGAATGGGGGAACCCACGGCTAGAGGGAGATGGGGAGGGAGGATTAGCTTTTGAAGATGGGAGATGGTAAAGTAGATTCATATCCTGGTGGAATCCTGGAGACGAAGAGGGGAGAGACTCCTGTGCTGCAGGGTGGGGGCTGAAAAGGGACCCTTGGGGTGGGAGAGACGGGAGGAGATGGGAGGAAAGCCAGCGAATGGGCACAGAGGGATCTCCTGGCATGAGGTTGGAGGGTTCTGGTCTGGGGAATGGGAGATGAGGTTTCTGTTGGCAGATGGGGGCCCTGAGTGAGGTGGGTAGGAGTGGAGATAGGTGGGAGTTGGGGAGCCCAGAATGTTGCTGCCTTGGGTCCTGCCGAGGCTTGGGGGCAAGCACCTTGAGGAGCCACCTCTTCACTGCTGTGGGATTGTTCCTCTGGGCAGAGAGTGGCTCCTACTGGGGGAGACTCTGCCAGGGGTGTAGCCTCTATACAGGGGCAGGGGCCCGGGCAGTGAGCTAATGCCAATGAAGAAGAGACAGTGAAGGGGAGAGGGCCTGGGAGGCGAGTGAGCAGGAAGAACCCGAGGCTGTGGTTAAGGAGGGGAATGTGGGGATCTGGGGAGCAGGGGGTGTGGGGACTTGGAGGTGGTGACAGGGTTTGAGTGGGGTGGGGCACTAATGGGTTGGAAAGTCCCAGAGATGGGAGCCATAGGGATTGAGGAGCCAGAGTGCTGGAGGCCAAGGCTGCTTCAGTGGGAGGTCAAGCAGACTGCAATCCAGGCACTGAGGACACAGTGAACGGGGAGTGAGCAACGGAAGGGACGCAGGTGCAGGATCTTCCTCTCTCGGGAGAGCTGTGGAAATGAGGCCTGGGGGAGCCCCCACACTGCCAGCCTCCGCTGAGGTGTGTGTCTGAGGGCTGCCCCTGCCCTCTGGGCCCCACCCGGCCAGGTCAGGCTCTGGCATACACCCCTGTAACCAGACCCAGGCCCCCAGCAGCGAGCCCCGCGCCTCTGGTTGCTAGGGGACACCCGCGGCCGAGCTGCTCGTCAGCACTGCAATTTTTCTGTCAGCTGAGAATAACTCCGGGAGGCTGCAGTGGCCACGCCTTCCCGAGCTGCCTACCAGGGCCGAGGCCTATGGCAAAACTGTTAGAAAAGCACATCTTCGAGGCTGACCATAAAATGAGATTTCATGGTAGCGGCAGCATGGCCTCGGTTCTTGCTTCTTTCAGCAAAACTCCTGCCTGGCCTTGGGGACAGATCAGTCAGGGAGGGTGTCCTGTGGTCCCAGGCGCTGGGCCTGCCTTTCAACTCTCCGTGGAGCCCACCCTGAGAGCCGGCCACCCTTCCACAAGCCAGAGCAGCAGTGATAACCACCACTAACAACGGGGGGCGCTGTGCTGAGCTCTGTCCCCCATCTTCACTGGGACCCCAAGCTTAGCGCCATCCTTATTCCCACTCTAAAGACCAGGAAACTGAAACCCAGGGAAGTGGAAACTGAAACTCAGAACACACAGAACTAAGAGCTGAACCGAAGGCAAACCCTGGCTACCCAAGGTCTCAATCTCAACTCCTACCCTGCATCCCCCAATGGGTCCAGCCCAAGCTGGCTCACTGCCCAGTCGTGGGCTGGATACTCTCAGCCACTGGTACTGGGCCATGGCCAGAGACTAGGCCTGCTGGCCAGGCCTGGATCTTTGCAGAAAGCCTCCTCAGTGGCACAGTTCTCAGCTCTATTCACTTACTCAGGTCACCCACACAGGGCTGTGAAAGATCCTGAGGCTGGACCTGGAGGGGTTCGACCTGGCACATGGCCGTGCACACCCACACTTTGCTCCCAGCTGGTGCCAGCAGCCCAGCTCCATGGCTGCTGGAGAAGCAGCATTTTGACAGGGCCTCCTGAGCCCTAAGAAGCTGCACAGATTAAAGCCGGGTGGCACCCTCTTCCTGGAGGAGTAAGTGGGCTAGCTCACACCTGACTCTGAAGGACTCTGTCCCCGACCGGAGGGATCTGTGCGGCAGCTCTGGTTGCTCCAGAGCTGGCATCCTAACCCTTGGCAACCTTGACCCTGGGAGCACCTATACCAGCTAACAAGGGGGGTGGGGAGGTTCAGGGACTGATAAGCTAAGGACAGGTACAGAATAGAGACTAAGCCAACAGTCCTTCTAACAACCCCCTTCCCCATTCAGGTCTAAATCCATCTCTTAGAACACACACTGTCCTCTGAAGCTTCCTGTCACTTCACCTCTCAGAACCCCAGGTTCCTCATCTGCTCATTAGGACTGAGTATCCACCTCTCACCTCTCATTCTAGGGTGATGATTAAATCAGTGAGCCTGCCCCCTGGCCTCCCCACACAGCCTAGCCTAGGGTTGCCCCCAACTCGGGGGTTGTACTTTATCAGCTGGAGGTGGCAGAGGATGGGTGCCAAAAAAGCCAAGTTCAAGGGCACACCCCAGAGAAGGCAGGACCCCCTCACCTTCTTTCTGGGGGAATAGGAGGGGTTAGAGGTTTGGGGGCCTCCATGCTCTAGGAAAGCAACTCTTGCTGCTCCCCAACCTCCATAGCTCAGCCCAAAACCATGGAGTCTGCACTCCTTCCTCATCTTGGGTTCCTGGACCAACCCAAGATCTCCAGTCTCTCAGCTCACAGCTGGGGGTTTTGGCCAACCCACCAGGCCCTGTGATTCCCCCCTCGGGGTGAGTGTCTGGAAGAGGCAGTCACAGCAGGACAGTGCTGCTTAAAATTCTTCCTCAGCTTCTAGAGCATTCTGGTTCACTTACCCAGCTCCATCCTTTCACGCCATACAGACCGCTGCGGGTCTCCAATCCACCCTCACCCCTCTGCTCACACCATTTCCTCTGTCCAGCAGCCCTGGCAGCTGCGTTCACACCTGTCTTCCCTGCCCTGGCCTAGCAAATACTTATTGGCTGATTCAACTCACTCTTCATTCCCATTTTCTCCCCTGCCTCTGACTCTAAGCAGGAGCTCACGTGTTGGGATCAGGCAGGGCCCACAGAGGCCACAAATGGGGCTGGAAGCCACAAGGAGGTAGAAGCCTAGGTCCATGCCCCAGCTCTGTTATCTCCCAGCTTCATGACCCTGGCAGGGCCTCCACCCTTCACCAGGTCTTCAAAAGGGCTGGGACAAGAGGGACTCAGACCCAAGAGCTGGATCCTTCCCTGTTCTGCAAAGTCAGTAACCTCCACCCTGCCTGAGACCTGGAGGCCCTCAGCCCCCGGGGCCAGAGCGCAGGGTGAGTCCTGGTGAGCCACAGCTGCTCCAAAGCAGTGAGCGAGGGGTGGAAAGGCCTCCTGGGCTGGCGGCCGGGCAGGCGGGCCACGGGAGCACTCACCCTCTCCAAGTCCTGCCGCAGGTGTGTGAAGAGCTTCAGGCGGCGGTACAGGACGTCCTGCTCCTGCTGGGCCAGGTTGTCCACCTCGTCAGTCTTGGGAGTCAGCAGCGGCTGGTTGGCATTGGCTTTCCTCTTCAGCTTCCAGTACTGGTAGATGAAGTCGACCAGCGCCTCGGCCAGGTCCAGGCGCTCGGCCACCTCAGCCGGCTCCACCAGCTCGTAGAAGTCTTCCTCCAGCTGCTGCAGCCGCTGCTTGCGGAGGGTCACCTTCTCCAGGTCCTCACCAGCTGAGCTGGGCTCCACCGGCTCAGATGTGGGCTCAACCCTTGGGCCCCCGTCACTGTGCTCCTGGCAGAATGATTTGAACTTGACCTCATCGTTGTCTGCTAATATAGTCCGCATTTCCAGGCCATGGTCAAAGGCGCATGTGACGTGGAACGCCGTAATGCAGGAAGGCATGGAACACTGGAGGGACAGGAAGGGCAGTGTCAGGCAACGGAGGGAGCCCTGATGGGAGGTAAGGAGCATGTGGGCATCCCCCAGGGTTCTGAGAACGAAGGATGCGGTGAGACCCTAAATAAAATGGCATGAGCTCCTAACATTCTTCAGGGAATGGAGGGAGCTATGGCAGGTGGGAAGGGGGTGCTGGAAAGGAAACAGGGTTCAGCACCTTACACCCTGGGGAAGAAAACAAGCAGACGACTGGACAACCCCTTTGGGGGCAAGCTGCATGCCTGTGGGCAAAATGACCTTGGAATCAGAGGCATGGAAAGAGACTGGTGATGGGTCTCTGCTTCCTCTGCTCCTGCAACGTTATCTAAGATGGGGAGCTGTGCCCCTCCTTTGTCCTCAGGGAAGAGAAGCTGGACTTGGATCCCTTCCTTCTCCTCTTGCCCAGGCAGCTAGGGCCAACTCGGGACCTGCCCAGGGCCAACTCGGGACCTGCCCCTCCCCCCTAGCCTCGGACGATGGCCGTGGGCAGCTGATAACTGTGTCAGCAACAATCCACCCAACTGTAGTGACCATTTCCGCTGCACTCACAAGCCATTCTGAGAGCCTTACAACCGGGTGGAGGCACAGCTAGTGTTTGCAATGACAACTGTTCCTGGAGAGACGAATGAGAGACAGGATACTCCCTACGTCCCAGCCTGTAGACCAGCAGCAGCATTATCACCTGGGAACTTGCTGGAAATGCAAATTCTCAGGTCTACCAAATGAGGACCTATGCGGGTCGGCCCAGCCATCTGTGATCACTGCTGTCCGTGGAGTAGTGCAGCCCTGCCCTGTGTGGCAAGAGCCTAAGTTGGATTCCTATCCCTGCCACATGTCATGTCTGATGACAGAAGTCAGGTCAACGTATTTATTAAGCATCAAGACATTTGGTCTTGAGCTTAATAAGTCAAGGCCCCTAGCACTGCAACGGGGTGGTGGGCCTTGGCTCCCCAGGCCTGTACCCCGTGCCTAGGGGCACTGAGGATGGAGAAATGCCCCACAGTGGGGTTCTGGCTGGTCCCAGCCTCAGGCTTCCTTGGCCCATCAGTGGCTCTGTCTGCAGCACCATGGGGCGGGCGGAGGGTGGCGGCACCTGGCTCCTGCATGGGCTCCCGGGCAGCAGCGGGGTGAAGCGGCCATGTACCTGGATGCAGGTGCCCGTGCACTCCTTGCACAGGCTGCAGGACAGAGCCCAGCGGCTGGCTGGGATATGGGAGATCTTGGTGATGGGCTCCATCTTCTCGGGGCAGCCGATGCTGACCTGGGCAGGACACAGGGAGCTACATCAGGCCTCTTGTCCTCAGCCTGCCCCAAGGATCCCCAAACGGGGGGCTGTCTGCTGAAACCAGGCGGGGGGCAGACAGGGCGGTGGGAGATCCCCAGGATCCCAAATCCTTCCTGACTGTCCCAAGCTGACCACTGGGTGAGTGTGAGCTCACCTGTGACAATCTTACATTGTTTGTGACTGTGTGAGACAGTGCACATCAGTAGTGTAAGTGAGTGTGTGTGCCTATGACTACGTGGCCCTCAAGACAGAGATGCTTCAGGGTGTGTGTGTCCAGATGAACATACAAGATTGCCTCTCTTCTGTACCTCAGGCCTTTGTCGATAGCAACTTCAAAGTTCTTATCATAATTTGTATTTATTTTGTTTTTCTGGGCAGCAAGTAATGGTCTCAGGGTAGCATCTCTTCTTGGAGGCCTCCAGGGCTTTCCTGGCCAATGGGGATGTGCCTTTGTTTAGACCCTTCTGTCACTCCTATGGGGACAGGTCTACACCCATGTCCACATCTCTGGGGCACAACTCGCCCCTCTCCACTGCACATGCCTAAGGATGGAAGAAGGTCCTGTCCAGAGGTCCCAAACCACAGGGCCCCCACGATGGGGTCCTTGTTGGTTCTCTCTGTCCCTGCTGTGCCCAGTCCAGGGTGTACTCAGTGGGAGTCCCAGCCTTCCAGAAGTTGATCTGGGAGCAAGTGACCATTGCTGGCACAACCACCATCATCACAGAAGACTGCAACGTGGGTCCTTCAGACTGGGAGCCCAGGAAGGTGAGGGCCACCGGCTGACAGGGCCACCTGGCTTGCTTCCAGGCACAGGCAGCATTGGAGTGAGGCCTCATTCTGGGTCAAGGCACATAGCAGGGCTGGGGCTGAAACTCCAGTGGATTTCAGCATTTCCCATTTCAAATAAAATGGGATGCCCCTGGTAGCCCAGGGCGTCTGCTACCTCACTGTGGGCCTCGTCTCTAATCCATGGCCCCTCCCCACCTAGACTCAGACCCACAGTCACAGCAGCAGGCCCACTATCCAACTTTTAATTAGGCTTGCCACCTGGCTTCCTTTTAGGGCAGTTGGCTTACTTTTGTTTTAAAGAGGCGGCTTGACTTTGGTTGGAACAACTGCCTCGATGGGGGTGGACCCACAACCTGCCTGACTTTGTCCAGCTCTCAGACCAACCACTGGATCCCCCAGGAGCCCATAATCCCATTTTCCCATGGAAACCACCACCTGAATTCTGCCCAAGTCTATAGCAAAGCTCCCTGGGGGCCACTCCCCCGGTTTTCCCAAGCTCGACACCTGAAGTCCAATTTTATGTGGGCCCATCATCACCTTCCTTTCCCAGTGCTCTGCTACCTGAGTTCTGAGTTCCACGCAGACCCACTTCCCCATGGCTGTTCCCCAGGGCCACCTGCCCCCACACCTGCCCACCTCAGGAATCCACAGAGCGCAGCTGACGTGCACCCACTTGGTCCCACTTCTGGTGGGCTTCAAGGCTCCTCCTCGCTTGGGGCAGAGCAGGCACTTTGGCTGGACACCCAGGGCACACGTCCGGCACAGCCAGCTGCCTGTGGGCACCTTGAGGATCCCGTAGCAGGCCTGGGAAGAGAGCAGGGTGGTCACAGGTCAGGGGCATTGGTCAGTCTGCATCTGGTCAGCAGTCAGCTGTGAATGGTCCCAGCCCCAGTCCAGCTAGGAGCTACAACACTACACTGCTACCAGGCTCTGGCAAGGAGACCTGAGGGATTGTCTGCGTTGTGCGCCTGAAATGTCATCATTTCAGTCCTCTGTGAAAGGGCTCAGGTCTGCCTTCTGCTGGGCGGACAGTCACTTTATCCAGAGGGTCCTAATCAGTGAGGGACCTCAGAAGGGTCCATGAACTGCCTTCAGTGGAATGTAAGTTTTGGTGCGTATGCTGCCAGAGACAAGGAGCAGACCTTCCGTCTTTTGCCACAGGCACCTGTGAGGGGGTCCTCCTAGTCATGCCCAGGGTTCGTGAACCTAAGAGCTGCTGAGTGTAAGGGATGTGGGTGAATGGGGGTGCACTGCCTTCCACTCACCAGCCAGGCAAAGCCCCTCTGAGCTCCCACAGCAGTGCATGGGGGGGGGGGCTCAAAGTCAGAGCCAGAGTGGGTTCACTGTGTTCTAGTCAAGTCTGCTGCAAACAAGGCCCAGGGATGCCCAAGATCAAAAGGCGTGGGCCTGGTCAGGCCAGACCCAGTTTATAATATCAATAATGGTAACAAATACTAGAGCCCTTAACGGTACTGTTCAAAGCAAACAACTCAGACCTTACAACAACTTACTTTTATGTATAGCTGAGGACAGAGAGGTCCAGAGAGGTTAAGAAACTTGCCCAAAACCACAGAACTTGTAAAGGGCAGAGCCACAATTTGAAACTGGGCAGTCTGGCTCCAGGCTTTGCCCTCAGTCACTATACTGTGCTGCCTCTTTGTAAGTTCAGCACAGTGAGGAACAAGAGGAAAGCAGGGGGGTTGGGTGCTTAGTGGGGAGTCTGAGGGAGGCTGACAGGAGAGCACAGAAAGATCCTTCGATGCGCGTTTACTCAGGTCTGGCTGATGGTGCTGAGCCAAGGGGCCCTAGGTGTCCCCGGGCACCACAGGGCACCCATGCCAGTCCCTTCCTCCCACCTTGCCCTCCTTCTTAGGGGCTATGCCCACAGTACTGCTACACTCCTACAGTCTGGATGGCCAGCCCCAGGCAGGGGCCCCCCAGGCTGCGTGTGAGGACACAATGTGGATGAGGGCAACTGGGGAGCTGGCCACCTGGTGCACGCAGACGTTGCATTTATCACAGAAGACCATCTCGTTGCCATCTTCGCCCTCGGGAGAGCGGCACACGTCACAGACAACGTCCTCGTCATACTCGATGCCCAGCCCCTCCTGCGTCTCAATGGCTCTCGCCATATTCTGGTGGCACAGCGTCTCCAGCTCCTCCAGCACGCGCTCCAGTGTCAGCTCATCCAGCTCTGGCCTCTCTGTGAGGAAAACGGAAGGGAGTAAGAAGTCCGGCTTTTCCAGGCAGATGGATGGGAAGGTTTTCATTCATCTGATGTGGCTTGGGAAAACAGGTCGACTGTCATGAGCCCTCAGCTCCATTGTCTGAAAACTGAATGGGCTGGACCATCCGATCTCACAGGCCCTGGGGCCTGTTGTGTTCTGACTCTAGACAGCCTGCCTGTGACCACACACATACTATGTGTACATGCAGATAACATCTCTGGGATGTGGCTGGCTCCATGGGCAATCCACTGCTTGAGCTGTGGACCTCTGAAGGTAGTGAATATGACAGAGCTGGCCCTGATAACATGTTAGTGGACTCCAGCCAGGAAGTCCACACCAATTGTCCCTGGGCACATTTGTCATCCTACACTCACTGTGTGCTCCCTCACTCTTCCTGTAACAGTCATGCTTATTAACGCTATTCCCAAGAAGTCAATTACATACTATTATCACCCTCACCTGACAGCTACAGAAACTGAGGCACAGAGACACCAAATAACTTCTCCAATCAGCAATGCTGCAGGGACTATCACCCCAGATCCATTCAGTGCCAAAGCCCAGTCATGGCTACTGTCCTTCTGAGGGCAAGGATGCTGGGGTACAGACGAAAACCCTGCCTGGCCTGCCCCCAATCCCATTCTCAGCCTGGCAGGTCACCTACCCATCTCCTTGAGCTCCAAGTTGATGAGCTCCAGCCAGTAGGCGTCAATCTCGTCCAGGTCATAGCGGCTGCCCCCTGGCCAATCAGGCTGGGAGCCCTCGCCAAGTTCGGAGCTGCTAGGGGACACCTGGGTAGGGGGGCCTTCCAGCGGCGGGAGGATCCTAGGAAATCAAGAGGGGGTGGTGTCACGAGGGGAAGGACCCTCAGCCTGCTGCCCTGCTAGGTCTGGAGGCATCCAGTGATTTGGCCAGCCCAGCTGAGGACCTAGTGGGCAAGTGAGGTGTGAGACTTTGATCCAAATAGGGCCCACCTTTTATTCCCTTCTTATATTTCCTTCTCCCACCTGCCCACCCTGCAGTCTCAGATGACTATGAGCAAGCAGGACAGGAAAGTAAGGGCTGTGGGGCAGAGTGGAGGATGGGAGTGGGGGCTGACCCACAGCCCTTGTACATCCATCTGTACACATCCATTCCGCTCAGAGCACACCTCTACCTTCCCTCCCATCAGGGCACCTGGGCCTTAGCTATGCCCCAGGACCTGGATCTGCCCTGCCTGGCCTGTAGGAGGCATTCCAAGTGCTGTCCTAGGCAACTTCTAGTGCCAGCCACTCTGGGACAAGTGGAACAGAGCCAGGTGGACTCCAGGTCCTCAGCACACCCCTCAAGGCTATGGAGAGGCCAGGGATTGTCCCCATGCTTTGGCTCCTCCTTCACCAACAACCTGAGAACTGAGGTCAGGTTTCCTCTGGGGTTAGGAGGAGTCCTCCCAGCTACATTATTGCAGCCCAGGGTGGCCTTTCCACATAAGAATGATCTGCTGACACAGAGAACAGTGTTGTCCACACACCTTGTTCTTCCCCCGAAAAGAATGTTACCTGAGCAGCGAGCCTCTGTCTACAGTGCTCCCTCCACCCCAAGACAGAAACCATCTCCTCTGGATACTAACATGCACCTACTATAGTCCCAGATCACACTCGAGGTAAACCCTCCCTCAGGCCATGGCTCTACCTCTGAGGCAGCTTGGAAGGGCCCTGGCTGCAGAGCCCAGACTCAAAGCCCTGCTCCCCCACATAATGTGTGCCTCTGGGCAAGCCACTTAATTTCTCTGTGCCCAGTGACATCATCCAAACAATGGGCTAATAAGAATAGTATTTATCTTCTATGATTGGTGAGGAAGAAATGGATGAATGCCTGCAGAGCTCTTAGAACAGTGCCTGGCACGCAATAAGCCCTATACCTGTGAGTGTATATTTTAAGACCTCTGGATATCACTTTGCTCTTTCTGAAATGGAATAAGAGTGCTTTTGCCCTGGGAGGGCACATTTCCCCTCTTGGTTCAGCGGTGTGCTGCCCCTCAGTTCCTGGTACCAGTTCAAAATGCCAGCTCTTCCCACCCCCCGCCGGTTGCCATGGTTATTGCTGTGGAGCCTGGCCTCCATCTGGCCAGCCCTGCCGGGGCTGAGAGGCCCCTTACTTGCCCGAGAGGCCTCCTGGGGTCGGAGGCAGGGCTGCCAGGGGCTGTGACTCAGCGCGCAGACGGGAGAGAGGAGGGCAGGGCCCTGGACTCCAGGAAATGCCCCGGGTGTCAGCAAGAGAGGCAGGAAGGGTGAAGGAGACAGGGGGCAGGGTGGCCTCCAGGCCAGGAGGGAGCTGAGGGGGGCAAGGAGGAGGAGAGGGCTTGATGCCACTGTCCCCACACAGAGCCAGCCGAGATTAAGGAAGGCCTCAGGGAATGGTGATGATGATGGAATGGCTCCCCACTTCCCCCAAAGGTCATTTCAAAGAGAAGCAAGACAATATTCTTAGTCCTACAAAATTCCACCTTTCCCCATGAGGCCCTTAATTGAATTAATAGGTTCTTTTCAAGAAACAGGCTGATTCTGTCATGAGCCTGCTTTGTTTGTGCCCCCAGCATATGCTTAGCTGGGATTTTGGATAACCTTTGCCCGAATGCCCAATACCTACTGGCATTAACTGCCCACACCTGTATGAACACTCAGGCAGCTGTCACCTGGCCAGAGCTCTTTGGCCAGTATCACATTCCTTTCTCTGGGAAGCTGGGGTTAAGGTGCTCACCAGAAAGGCATTTCCTGTGCTTCCTGGGCCTCTTACCTTCTTCCGCTTGGCCCCTTCTGGCTCTGGCTATAGAGGAAACTCTTGCACCAGGCATGGACCAACCTGACCCTAGGTCAAGGCCTTAGTCTCAGCTGCAGCCAGCTGTACTGTTAGCCGGAAGGAGCTGGGTGGTTGGGCTGGGATCTGGAAGAGGGAAGGGGTCTCTACTCCAAAAGACCAGATAGACACCAGAGGTTGGTTTAGCCTTGTGCTGAGTCATTTGGACACACTGAGGGAGCAGCATAAGCCCTCATTCAATTCACGATCTAGAGCAAGACAGATAGTTGTTATCCAGATAAATTTCAGACCATGAGGGGGGCAGACCTGCCCAAGGGCCAGGGAGGCCTGGGCAAGCAGAGAGAGACAGAGGGGGCCAGCTTGCAGCCAGGGAGGGCAGTCAGAGCTGACATGCAGGGTGATCAGGGCACAGGCTCTCTCTGGGCCTCACAGGGGTAACCCAGGGCTTGTTCCCATGGCCTGTGATTTCCTGGCCCCGCCCACTAAGCCCTGACAGTCATGCAGGGAATTCCCCAGAATTTCCCAACTTCCTCATCTATAAAATGGGGACAGTATATAGGGCTAATGTACTTTATAGGGCTAATATGATAATTAAATGAGAAGATCAACATAAGAGGCTCAGCACAGCAAGTTCACAGAAAGATGGTTCCTGTAAAAATTCTGACTATAGTGGCTGCCATGAGGCCTCCAGACAACGGCTGGGCAAGTAAGAAGCACTGAGGAAGGTGGAGGGACTGGGTGGGAGGGAGACAGGGGCAGAGGGGCATGGAGATCTCTCCGAGAGCTCACCCCTCCCTGCCTGCAGTCTATTCTCTTCAAAGAGCATGGACAGGACAGGCTGCCTGGCTCCTGTCAGCTTACAGCAGTGTGCGTATGTGGGGAATGCACCTAGCAGAGCCAGAGCTGTCTGAACACGTGCTCTCCTCTTGATGTCAACAGATAAAGCAGACTGAAGCCAAGCTACTGGTGTGGAAGCATCTGCAATTAATTACCCAGGCCAGTGGATGCTTCCGGAACCACCTGACACTGACATCAAGGAGAGGGGACAGATTGCTGGGCCACGTCTAATCAGGACTCACCTCTCTCTACCCAGCTGGTGGCCCACCCTCCCCCTCATTACCCTGGGCCCTGGGCCCATGTTTCTCATTCACCACCACACCACCAGGCAGGTACTGCTCTTAGCCCCATTTGACAGGAGAAACAGGCTCAAAAGGGCAATAACAGTTCTTCCGTCTGCAGAGGCGAGGGTGTGAAACTGGCTAGCAGCTTGACCCACATTTTTGGCCCTGGGCAGGGGATGTGGAGAATAAATTCTTTCTCCAAGTCTCATGTGCGCTCTCTCCCAGAGAATCTGGAGCGCCCTGATTCTCAAAGGGCCCAGACAAGTGCTGGTAGGCACTCGGCTCTTAGGAGCCACAGGAGGATGAGCCCTGCCCAGGACCCAATCCTGCCTGAGCACCCGAGCAGAGATTAGCCTGCTTTTCTCTGTACTCCCATGGCCAGCACAGGCCTGGCAGCAAGAGGGCATTGGGTGTCTACGAGCCAGTCATGGGTGTGGCTGCCAGGAAGCAAGAGTGCCAATGTCACAGGAGGTGATGGCTGAGATCTTCATCCCAGGCCTGGTCAAATGGGCTTAAGTGAGAGCTATGGGGCTGCTAAGGCCAGGAGTGGGCTGCCAATAACAAGCTGCCCAGCCGGGGCCGGCTGGTGGGTGGGGGAGGCCAGGACAGCAGGCCCCTCTGCCCCAAGACATGACTTGGAGGGTTTCCCAGGGTGCAGAAAGAAGCACTTGGCTGAACTCTGTTGCTGGAGGCAAGGTGCATGGCCACGAGGCCACCTCCTGACAAAAGCACCAAGGGTCTCTCTGACCCACAAGCCCAGCAGGCTATGAAGCCCAGAGAGGACTCAGCCCTGATCCAGACCTGGCAGGGCGCCTCCTAGGAGGCTGATCCCAACAGCTGCTTCCTGAGCATCTGCTGTGTGCACACGACTCCCTCCCACTAACAGCTCCTTAAAAAGGTTTAAGAAGTCAAGAGCATGGCTTATCCCTATCTTAAGGACTTGTTAAAAGTCTGCAGATTTCCCTGATTAAGATGTGCTTGTGGGACCCAGTTTGGATAGACATCAAGCTAACCCATGGCCAGATTTTACTGAATACTTGTGTGCCAGACCCTGTGCCAAGTGCCTGTCATGCATCATTTCCCTGCATCAACTCCACCACCATAGGAGGTAGGTATTATTGTTATCATTCCTATTTCACAGACAAAGAAACTGAGGCCCAGGGAGATTGCATTTCTGACCTAATGTCATACTGATTGTGAGTGGCCATCTGAACCTAGGCTGTCTGGCTCCATAGCTGAGCCCAAGCCCAAGGGCTTAGTCTCAAAGGTAAACTGCTAATATTTCTGGAATATTTCAATGGTTTATGGGCCAAAAGGATCTAAGGCAAAATAAAGCTAAGCTAGAGAGGCATCCCAGGACTAGTAGGTCCCATGCGGGGTGCCCTCGCCTCTCTTCCTCCCCTGTCTGGGCCCCTAGCCTGGGCTGCCCAGCTCACCTCACCACGGGCTCTGGAATGGCCTCTGCCCCGGCGGGCACCTGCACACCTTTCTCCCATTCTTGTCGCCATGGATCCGCCAGGATGTAGTAGTCATCCGGGCTGAGCTGGTATGAGTCTGGGATCTTCATCGCTGTGATCAAGTCTGTCCGGAAAACCTGTGGGGAACAAGGGTGGAGAGAATGGCTTCAGACTGCCTCCGGGTGGTCTGCTCCACAGGCCAGGGGAGGAAAAGGCAAATGCAACTCAAGTGGGCTTTCTGCCCACTCACTTCAAGTCCGAAGCCAACACAAATGCACTAAGTACAATAACACATCTCCGAACCCAGCAGTGCTTTGCACACAGCAGATACTCAATAAACGTGTTGAACTGAATTCACATGTGTTCTGATCTAGGAAAAGACAGAGTGATGGATGGGAGTGGACCTCAGAGGGAAGAGGAAAGGCTGGGAAAGGCCCAAAAAAGGCCTCTGTGAATGCAATACCGCCATTAAGTGACTGTTCAGGGAATCTCTTTCGAATGCTTAAAATTATGTGTGTAGTAGCAAACATAGTGCTACAGGCACAGTGGAGCTGTAGAGTGCAGGGCACCAGTCCCAGGCAAACGAAATACTAGGACCTTGTGCAAACAGCTGAGGGGAGGCGGGGTGAGGGCAGCCCCAGAGAAATATTTCCCACAGATCAGGGTCTCCAAGGTCGCTCTGAGCGAGGACACCAGGTCCCCTGCTCAGCAGGGGCTCCACATTCCATCCTCTGTGCATGAGGGAGTAAGAGGAGCATGGGTTGAATTCCTTCTCAGTCAAGCCCACCCAAGTTCCCTTAGAGCCAGGGACGCACCCTCATGCTTTGGTTTTCTTCTGGTCACTCAGGAAACTGTTAATCCCAACCTTCTGTCTGTTGCCCCCCTCATCACCCCAATACGATCTCCAAGCCCCAGGGGGACTGGCAGTGACTCTTGTGCCCTGGTTGCCTAACCTCACTGTGGCCTCCCAGGAAGGGCTGCTGCAGGACCTGGTGGCAGCTCCAGACTGTGACTTGCTTAGGTACCAACTTTCCCAGTGATCATCACATGAGAATCACAAGTTAAAAAAGTGATCGCCTCAACGAGACAAGAGAAACCACTTCAAGGAGAGCTCCAGGCTTCAGACCAAACTTCAAACCCACCGCTCCCTAAAGAAGGCAGCCTCTGCTGGCCTTCCAGAGGCTCATGACAAACTCATTCATGGTAACCTCTGCCTGATGGGGGCCCAACTCACTGGGTGTGCGGGTCTCACTCGAATCTAGGGCCAGAACAGCAAGAAAGAAACTGAAATGGGTGTGCCAAGGGGGTTCGGGACAGCATCTTGTAGAAATCTAATTAACATTCACATCTAGCTAGAGAGGGCCCTGGCTTGAAAAAGGTCAAGTTTTTTGAAGACTCTATTTGCCAATATAATTTAATTGTTAAGATGAATACCCTAACATTTAATTAGGGTGCCAGTGTGAAAAAATTAAAATGAGATTACAATTAAATGCTAATTAAACAGAAGATGGAATGTGGTGAAGATTTTACAGCCCTGATAATTTGCATATCTCATTAGCAAGCAGTACGCCCGCTGATACAAGAACACAAACTCAGGCAAATAGTGCTTTTGTGGGGCCCCTTGCTAGCTGTGGCCTCAGCCAAGCCCAGCAGGTCTGGGGCTGGGTTACTTCTCTCTAGGCCCCAGTATAAGACCTGGCGGGTAAACTGAACCCATAGTGGATTCATCACTGCCTCAAAGTTCTCCCACGGCCTACGCACACCAAGGGGCTTGACAGTCAAAGTCCTGCTGCTCTGATGCCATGGGAAGCTGCCCACCTGGACAGTCCATCTTCCTGTCCCAGGTATCAACCCTTCAAGAGCCCAGTGTCACCGTTTGCCTCTCCAAAGAGGCACAGGTGAGTTTGAAAACTCTTGCTGTTCCCTCATCCAGTGCTACAGCTTAAATGCCACCTCCTCCAGGGTTCCTTCCCTGATCACCCAACTTAGGGAGTGCCAACTGCACAACAGAACCACTTTCCATCCCATTATCCTGCCTCACTCCCCATTATTTTCAATTCTGAAGACTAACTGGTGTACTCATGTTGCCTGTTTCACGTTGTCTGCCCTGCCACACCACACCCGTTCTCTGAGGCATTCTCAGTCATAGTGACTGGCACATAGTAGGTGACTGAGCAAGTGAATGAAAGGGCTTTTCTGAGGAATTATCTGATAAATCTGAGCCCCCCAGCAGTGCTTTTTGAACCCCATTAACAGGGCGAGACACCTCATGGATATACCCAAAGTTGAAATCCCCATGAACCTGAACAAAGCAACACACCACTTTTGGTCTGCAGGGTTCCAAACCTAAGGACCAGGGTGCTGCCCAAGCTGCAGCTGGAGAGGCCAGAGTGTCCAGCCACACCAGAGAGGGAGAAGTGACCCTGACCTAGGAACAGGCTTGGCACTGAGAATTCAGAGCAGGAAGGGGTCCTGGGCTCAACTCAGCCAGGCAGATTCAGGAGAGAGAGGAGTCTGGTCTCAAGAGAGTTCTGTCTCGTCCTGGTTCACTCAGGGAGCAGGCAGGTGGCAGACTGGACACCAGTGACCCGTTTGGGCAGAGGACTCATGGAAGCACAGTAAGGCAGCATTGTTATAATGGTGCCAGCCAACACTTAAAGAGCACTGTGTGCCCAGTACCAGTGTAAGGGCTGTTCTTGAGTTAATTTACTATTAGACCCTATACCAACTCTGGGTAAGAGCTACCATCATTCCTATTTTACAGCTGAGAAACCTGGACTCAGTTTAGCGAAATAACTTATACAAGGTCCCACATGTTGGGAGTGGCAAAGGGACCCAGGCCAAGACCACTCTGACACCATCCACACTCCCCAATAGGCCCTCTGGCCCTTTAGGCCACAGGGCTCACTGTCAATTCCCCAGAGTTAACCCAAGACCAAATCAAGCTCGAATATGCAAATCAGATGGAAGCTTCTGCAAGTTGTAACTGCCCTCAAAAGCTGAGCTGCAAGACATATGAGGCCTGTGCCTGCAAGGATGCAGTACCCAGAGCACTTTCTCCCTTGGCACACTGGAGGACCTGCTGAGACACTTCTCCCTGGCCAAGGTGGGGCTGGCCTGCTTCACCCTTAAGGTCTCAGTTCAGCCCACATCTGCTCTGGCAAGCCTTCCCCAATCCCGGGCTGGGTTCTGGGTTTCCTCTGAACTCCCACTGCCTCAATACAGGACTCGTCTGGTTTCTTGCCATGTGTCCCCATGAGAAGGTGATCTCAGTGAGGTCTGGCCGGGCAGCAGCCTGCAGCCCAGCAGTGCACACGGGGCCTCCGCACATGCTAGGTGCTAACAAAGGCTGAAGGGCTCGAATGCCTTCCACGGATCTGCCTCCACCTTGCTGGGTTGCTGCCCAAGGCTACAGCTGGGCACCCTACCTTTCAGAGGAGCCCCTGTACATTCCTATAAAACCTGCCCACAAATACGGTAACTCTGCTGTAACCCAAATATCTTTATGTTTTGAGTTGCCAGAGGTTAGGCTTGAAAAAAGGCTCAATTATTCTCCTAAACTGCCTCTGAATTATTTATGAAAACTAAATAAAGAATAAAATGGACACCGATAAACTGTGGCAAGAAAGTTAGAGCTGGAAAACAAGCAATTTCCTAAGAATGTGAATGTTTACTATTTTTCTCTCTTTTGGCGGAAATTGACAAATTGTTGTTAAAGGTCTGCTGCCTAGCAACCAAGTTCTGCTGAGCTGCTTAGATGTTAATTGTAGCTTCTTCAAACAGCATGAAAAATGTTTAAAGGTCTAAAACTTTAATTTAATAACCAATCTGAGTGCCTGAGGTGCCAACGCAAACTCTGGAGGGAGCTGAAGACCCTGCCCTGTCTAGAAGTAGGGACAGTTCAAGACCTTGCCCTTCACAACCATCAAAGTCTATCTAGCTTTCTGCACCCATTTCTCCAGGGAGAACCAAAAACAGGCTCTGCCCAAAATTATCAGTGGAGTCTGACGTGATCTCCATAAGCAAAAACTATGACAACGGGCGCTTCACTTTGTCATCCAATGAGTTCTCATATATGATCACAAGACTTGGAGATGTTATTTGAATATTTCATCCCTGGACCTTGGACTCTGCACTTCCTTTTCTCGAGGGTGAATTACTGCATCATAGTATATTTCAGACCAAGAGGCACCAAGAGGAAGTTTAGTTACTTAAGGAAAGGCTCCAGCACTTATCACAATTACAAAACATGATTATTTGTGTAATGATTTGTTTATTGTACATCTCCTCTAATAATCAAGTAGAGAGAGGCAGAGACTACATGTGTATCCTGTTTATCATTACGCCTATTTATGGCACAGTGCCTGGCACACAGCAGGTGCTCAAGAAATGTTTGTGGAACAAGTGAGTGACTGAATGAATGAGCCTCAGGATTTGTCTGAAGTATGACTAAACTCTGAAACTTCCCGTCCTGCCTAGCAGGGGGCTGGTCCAAAAGAGACTTCAGTAGACTTTAGTAATGGGTCTTGGTCACTGTCTCAAAGCCAATGAAAACGGCTCTGGCCAGGACTGCCTCTCCTTGACCTCGGTCCACATGAGGAGTCCCAATACAGAGGGGGAGTGGCACCCTTCCCCCAGCCCTCCTAAGAATGTTTGAGAGTCTGTTCAGAAAGAGCCAAGTGAAATTTCTACCAGATACCTCATTTTAATCAATTTTTTCTGAGCACTTCATCTCGTTAGAAACTTTAATAGTGAAAAGTAACTGTCCTGTTGTGACATAGCAGGTGCTATGCTAAATGCCTTGCATATATAATCTCACCTAATTTGTATCACCCCCACCCTACATATGTGCAGACTGAGACTCAGAAAGGTTAAATCGTTTGTTTGAGGCCTGCACTGGCCTTTAACTGCTGCAATACTACCTGCAAACCAGTCTTATATTTCCTCTTTTAAAAAATCTCTTTTCGTTCTGGCCAGGTAGCTCAGATGGCTGGAGCATCACGCCGATACGGCAAGGTTGTGGGATTGATCCCCGGTCTGGGCACATACAAGAAGCAACCAATGAATGCATAAAAAGTGGAACAACAGCCCCGGCTGGTGTTGCTCAGTGGTTGAGAGTCGTCTCATGCACCAACAG